AATAGACTATTAAATGAAATAAGCTTAATATAAAACCAGAGAAAAACAATCACATCAATGAAAACCAAATTCTTGAACACTTAAAATTCACACAGAAAAGAAAAATATAAAACTCACACGACCACGAGGATGTACAGAGATCATCTGGGTACTTATTTATTAGATAAATATGTCACATACTGTAACTAAACATCTCTGCATAACTAAAAATCACTCTTTATTTTCAATCTGAAGACCAGCGTACGGGTTTGGGTGATTGTACATAAAGAATACAAACATAAAGATGACAGCCAGCCTCATAAATCACACCGGACTGTAATCAGAACATGGAATCCAGACTGTTCAGGTGGTTGAATATGGACCGAGTTCCCTCACATGGTGCTCTGATCCACAGTGGTTCAGCTCCTGTGCCCTGCTGGGCCTGTAATGCATAGTAGTTGGATGGATGGAGACACTTTGGCTTGATGGTCCCAGCAGAAGAAGAACCGTGCTTTTGGCCCACAGGACACTTACAAAATTGCTTCTTTTAGCTGTTCTGTTAATGCTGTGAACAGAAACCTTGCCTACACTCTTGAAAAATGGTTCTTCAAGGGTTCTTTTGCAAAGAAAATGAATAACTGTAGAATGAATATAGAACCATACACACTCAAAGGATTGTTGGCACGATTTAAGGGTTCTTTGCATCGTGTAACAGTTCTTCAGATTGATGGAGAATGTAATGTAGATGGTTCTATATATAACCTTTTTGAAAAGGGTTCTATATAGCATCAAAATGGTTCCTCTACTGCTACGATGTCAAGCTTGCAACAGTAGAAGAACCCTTTTAGGTGCTATATAGAACCATTTTCAAAATGGTCTTATATATACAACACAAACCGACACTCCTAAAAAAGATGGTTCTTCAAGGATTCTTCAGTAAAGACATTGGTTCTATGGAACCATGAACACACAAAAGAACCATTTCATGGAATAGTTCTTCAGATTGATGGAAGGTGAGTCATATGTGGTTCTATATAGCACCAAAAGGGTCTGCCATAGTTACGATGTCAGGCTTGTAAGAATAGAAGAACACTTTTTGGTGCTTTATAGAACCATTTTAAAAAGTCTTCTATATAGAACCATCTACAACACATTCTCCATCAGTCTAAAGAACACTTTCAAGATGCAAAGCACTCTTTAATCATGCAAAAGGTTCTTTGAGTGGCCACAGGTTTATGTAGAACCATTTTCTTTACTAAAGAACCCTTGAAGAACCATGTTTTTTAAGAGTGTACTGTAAGCCAACTGCAGTAATCAATATGTCTGCAGTCCTGCTGATGGAAGAGAATGAATTCAGACCCAGCCAGACGAGAGTCTGCATCAGGAATAAAACACCAGCATACTAATGACATAGAAAACTCCCTTCAAGCATTGAAAGGAGAAGTTCACCAAATGTTCAAAATTGAATAATAATCAAATGGTTAAGATGTAAACAGAGTCATTCAGAGTGGTTTGGTGTGAAATGTTCTGTTCTAGAGAAACTTACAGAGTCAGAATTGTTCACAGTGCAAACTGTGCAAAAAGTTTGCACACCCCTGTTCAAATTGCATGTTTCGTTGATTGCAAACCTAATATAGAATTAATGTTTATTTGATCATTTTAACATACTGGAAAAAAAATCTTTTTTTCAATTAGTTAAATTAAATTCAGCAAACTTACAGAGTCAGAACTGTTCACAGTGGTGGTTATAGGAACCAGACGTCCACCTCTAAAAGCTCCCTCACAGAAAGTTACTACATGAAATGGTTATGAATTCACTGCCTGATGACTGAGACACTGTTTATGAAAAGGTTTTGACCCAAAACATAGGTAGGCAATTCTAAAGGACAGGGCAAAAACGTTCTTTACATTTATGGTAAGTGAATGTAAAGAAATTTTTTTTTAAGTGATTTTGGAGCTCCTGCGATGGACTGGCGACCTGTCCAGGGTGTATCCTGCCTTCCGCCCAATGACAGCTGGGATGGGCTCCAGCACCCCACCGCGACCCAGAAGGATAAGCGGTTTAGATGATGGATGGATGGATGGATGGATTTTGGAGCTTTTCTATTGGTCCAATCGCAGTGAAACGTTCACACAATGTAAAGGGCAGCCGCTGCGTTCAAATAATATAAAATAGTGCCCAAAGAAAAATTATTATTTCAGATTTTCCATATTTTCCCATCATAAACATTCCATATAAACTCAGAAGACTCGTGTAGGTTCACTGGTGGTTCTGGATAGTAAATAAAATGTCTATATTTGTGTTGTAGTCATGGCGACCCCTGGTTCCTATCACCACCACTGTAAAGACATCTGAACCATTTCACACCAAACCACTCTGAATCACTCTGATTACGTCTCACACACTGAGTTATGAAGGAATTTTGGAAAATAGGTGGAATTCCCCTTCCAATGAAGGTAGAGAAATTCTTAATCTGATTCATTCTTAGCTCATTCCCAGAAAACATTGATTATTTTTGCTTGATCTGCCTCAACAGCTCTCTGAATAAAATTCAAATGTTCATTTCATGAAAGTAGTGCAACTCACTCAAACCAGTGAACCATCAAACCATCAAAAACAGCATCGAAATAATGAGTTTTATGTTAAAATAAGCAAATTACACAAGACTGACACACAATAAGATGGCAGTGGATTGACGTTACATTTGTCTGGATAAAAAATGCTCACAATTGAAATTATATTAACATTATAATCTTTCTAATCTTCAAAAAGTCCTTTTAAAAAACAAAACATGCCATGATGTGATGTCTTTCTTTAAGGAAGTGCAAAAAATGACATTTTCAGCCATTTTAAAGCCAAAGAAATCTGATATGAAATAACATAATTAAAATAAAATAACATAAACTGAAAAACACGAAACGACATTTAAGACTTGAAACAGGATGAAAACGGATGCAACTGTTTTAACTTTTACAAAAGCTGCTCTTTCTTTACAGAACATAAAACCAACATATAGATGTATTTAACATAAGGCTGTGATAGATTCCTATAAATCTGCTCGTCTGTACTGATATTTAACAGTTCTAGGCTTCAACTGTGAAACCCTGATAGTGAAGAAACGGTTTGATATTTTTTTGATCTTAATCTCGTGACGTCACTCTTGAGGGAGACTGAACAGGGTTAGCCTTTTCTAGAGTCTAGAAAATAAATATATTTGGTGACATTTCATTCTTTGTTCACGTCTAAAAGCTCGTTAACCTCGTTACGTTACATTAGAGTAAGCGTCTGCGTGTCTCAGCACTGCTGCCTATTAGGATTTAGATGAAAAGTACTAAACTAAGTCAAAGTTTGGACGTAGCTGATGGAATTAAAAATGTTCGGAACATTCCGATCTACAGGCTTACAGTCTTGTGAAAAAGTTTGTGCACCCCGTTTAAAAAAAGCACAAAATGTGTTTGTTGTTTTTTTCTTCCGTTTGTTAAATTCAGTAAATAAACAGTAATTCAAATGTGCAGGAGTGTGTTCTCTGTGGAGGGCGTGTTCACTTATTCACACTCAGAAAACCAACAACAACATGGAATTTAACCAGGGGCGCCTAAACTTTTGCACACTTAAATGCCTAAAAAGTGAAGTTGGTGCCCGTGTTTTCAAACTTTAGTGTGAAAATGTCGAAGCCTAATTATTCGATCCTCCCAATTATTAAAGGTTAATTAGTGGAATGTATGTGCTCGTTAATGCGCCTGAGCCAATCGGCTGTGTTCTGAGGTAGAGTGGATCCAAATAATGTTATCTGGCACAAGGCCAATCCAATATTCCTCAGTGTTATAATTCAGTATGTGTTATTTCATAGTTTTGATTCTAAAATGTGTAAAATGGTTTAAAAAAAAAAACAAGTAGATGCGCCCAAACTTTTGACTGCTACTGTAGCTCTGAATCACCTTCTCTTCTCTGATTATTACTGCAGATTAAAAGCCTAATAAGGGCTTTAATGAGCTGATGGCTCAGTACTGTTCAGGGCCGCACTCGTCTGACGACGAATTACGATAAAGACAATACAAAAACTATAAATATATAAAAAATGATGCACACAGGACAGTGTGGTGCTGATTTAGCGATCCTGATAAGGCTAAGTAAGCTAAGAGGATTCTGCTGATATTAAATGGCTTCAGCTGGAGTTTTCAGACGATTACATTCGAGATCTTGACCAAAAGAGGCCAAACAGATGTTTTAGACACATGATTCAACAGCCTCACCACATATGCAGATGACCAAATGGGACCGGAATGGTAAACTGGAGGACTCCGGCTGACCAGCTGATGATAAACAGCTAATGTTGAACTGATGAAATGATCTTGTCTTAAAGGTGTTGTGGTGCTAACTGGTGGGGTTGCTTCATGTTGGCTATATTAGCCTCATAGCTAAAAATTAACGAAGCAAACTTCACACTGTGGAAAGTCAGGTCAGCTTAAAATGATAGGACAGCTCACTTCACTGAGTTAGTTCATAATTCAGTCCTGCCAGGCAGAAAAATCACAGCCTTCTCTGTTTCTGACAGCCCCAGGTTCAAAATGTTGACCTAATAATGACTAATTTTGACTAATATTGAATTAGGTATCTCAGAATAATTATTTATTTTCTTTAAATGTTGACTTCATATCTCAAAATAATTCTTTTCTCAAAATGTTGACAATTATTTGCTCAAAATATTGAGTATCTCAAAATAATTACTTATTATCTTAAGAAATTGACTTGATATCTCAAAATAATGTCTAATTTTTTTGATCTCTGAGATGCTACGTTGAAATGAGTTATGACATTTAGTAAGCAAGTAAGTAATTATTTTGGGATATTAAGTCAAGACATTTTGACATACTAAATCAATATTTTGAGAAAATAACTCATTATTTTGACATACTAAATCAATATTTTGAGAAAATAACTCTATTTTGACATAGTAAATCAATATTTTGAGAAAATAACTCATTATTTTGACATAGTAAATCAATGTTTTGAGAAAATAACTCATTATTTTAACATACTAAATCAATGTTTTGAGAAAATGTCATCATTTCGACTTCGTAAGTTAATTTTTTCACGAAACTAAGCCATTACTTCAAGATACTAAGTCAAAACTTTGACGTAGTGCCACCAGAAATGGAGGAGAAAAAGCACAGGTATCTACCTGGTGGGAGGGGCTTCCATAAACTCCAGTACCCACAAGTTAATTTAACTTAAAACCATTAAGAAGCAAGTCGCCTAATTTTAAGCTGATCTGATGCTGAATTTTTTTCAATGTCGACACCAAACACATCTTGATTGATCCACTGCATTTGTGGTAAGGAGGAGGCGGGACTGTAAATTAGATTTTTTTTTTTACCAGATTATCAGTTTAATCTTCTTGGTCAGGTCTGATTCTCTCATCAAAGTATCTGAGATACAGATGTGATTGTTACATTGTTGCTCTGTCTGTTTTCTTGCTCTCTGATTGGATCTGGCTGGTCAGATCTTCTCAAACAACCTCAGGTTCAACAGCAGTCAAATCCTGGAACATACAGCCGTGTTTGTGCAGCCGTCCACTGAAAATGGTGTAAAATCAGTGTAATTTTTCTAATAAGACACATGAGGAGAGGCTGCCTGTGGAGTGATTTGGTGGTTGCTTTTGTTTCTCTTGTGCTTCTTGAGAAACGCGCTGGAGACGCAAACAGTGCTACTGGTCTGGAAAACAAAAACCCTTTGTTGATCCTGGGCTGGTTTGGTTTAATTTCATCATCAGAGCTTTGAATGGAGGACGCGTACTGGCCGCAACAGGCGGATTTCTGTTCATATGTGTTTCATATCAAAAACAAATGTATCCAAAAATTAAAAAAGAGAAACAAATGCTACACCATGTTTCCTAAAGTTTATAAGACTTTTGTGCAACTTAGGAAATGCATGTAGCTGCACATAAAGTGGCATTCTGAGGCCTGCAGTTTGCACAGGAGGGCGAGGGCACAGGGAGTGCATCACTGTTTTTTATCTCTCTCTCTCTTAGCTGTTCTCAAAGAGTGAGAGCAGTTCATCATTGCTGCTGCTGGGCAGGTCTGGAGGGTCCAGGTAGGTCAGCAGGTCATCTGGGTTGGCCAAATCTGGAAGAAGCTGCAGAGAAAAAGAGCACAAAGGTCAGAAAACTCACTTTAAGTGTTAACGGTGTGCCACAAGGCTCAATTCTGGGTCCAATTCTGTTCACAGTCTATTTAAGCAATCGAGTATGTGAAGGGCTGCTTTTTCATGAACAGCATTACGGCCTCCAGTGTTCTACTGATATTCTTATACAACAGTTCTGCAAAATAAATTCAAAAAGTGAGGAAAAGAAGGCCAAATATTATATCAAATATGGTTTAATGTTGGTAATTTATTTCTGCAATTAAAGTAACGTAGCACAGTTGGTTTTGTATTGGACGTGGCCGAATATTTGACCTCCTGGCCTCGATTTCTCATTAAATAAACTTACAGAAATGATCAAACCTACAATTTATCGCTCCTAAAAGAAGGAGAACAAACTACAACCAAATATATTCACCGACGCTTTAGTCATTAAGGGAGCGTCTAAACAGTGCAGAACATATTAACCATGTATTTAGCCAAAAGAAAGGCAAAATCACATCAAATCACTTGTAGTAGAGACAGTAGCCTCCTTTAAACCGACTACAAATCCCAGTTAAAGGAAGCCACTCTCTTTACCACAAGCGATTTGATGTGATTTAGCCTTCTTTTATCTAAATACATGAGAAATGATATAGAAACAAAATAGAAAGACATCAATTTTATGCACTGTTTAGACCGGCAGTCCTGGTCCTGCAGAGCTGCCTTCCTGCAGAGTTTAGTTCAAACCTGTATTCAGTCAGCTGCCCCACCCCTTACTTAACTCTAATCCATCTGATCCAGCCAATCAAGGACTTGAAAAGGCTGATTAGCTGGAGCAGGTGTGGCAAACTGTGGTTGGAACTAGGCTCTGCAGGAATACAGATCTCCAGAACCAGGGTTGGTCTAAGACACTGGTTTAGAAGGTTTTTTTTATGGACCCTCAGAGCAGGTACTATTTGGGTGGTGGATCATTCTCAGCACTGCAGTAACACTGACGTGGTGGTGGTGTGTTAGTGTGTGTTGTGCTGGTACGAGTGGATCAGACACAGCAGTGCTGCTGGAGATTTTAAACACCTCAGTGTCACTGCTGGACTGAGAATAGTCCACCAACCAAAAATATTCAGCCAACAGCGTCCTGTGGGCAGCGTCCTGTGACCACTGATGAAGGACTAGAGGATGACCAACACAAACTGTGCAGCAGCAGATGAACTATCATCTCTGACTTTACATCTACAAGGTGGACTGACAAGGTAGGAGTGTCTAATAGAGTGGACAGTGAGTGGACAGTGTTTAAAAACTCCAGCAGCACTGCTGTGTCTGATCCACTCAGACCAGCACAACACACACTAACACACCACCACCACGTCAGTGTTACTGCAGTGCTGAGAATGACCCACCACCCAAATAGTACCTGCTCTGTGAGGGTCCATGGGGGTCCTGACCACTGAAGAACAGGGTAAAATGGGGGCTAACAAAGTATCAGAGAAACAGATGGACTACAGTCTGTAACTGTAGAACTACAAAGTGCACCTATATAGTAAGTGGAGCTGATAAAATGGACAATGAGTGTAGAAACAAGGAGGTGGTCAGAATGTTATGCCTGATCAGTGTATAATTATTTGACAACTCAAGCAATAAACACAAGCCAGTCCCTTACTGACTAAAGGTGATCTGTATTTCTGAAACATTATGTTCAGTGAAATAAAACTGCAGACAGTTTGGGAATATATTTCACTGTGTTGTTTTCTGTCTACCAGGAGTGAGGAAATGTAGGTTTGATCATTTCTGGACATAAAAGAGAAAGTTGGATATTCAATGATGGCCCAATATAAAACCAACTTTACCTTGCTATCAGAAACTTAGAGGCCATTTTTGCAGAGGTTCCATTTTAGAACACATTTGATAAAATATTTAGAGCTTCTTACTTTTACCATTATTTTCTTTATTTTGCAGAAAAGCAAAACAAAACAATAGAAAGAGCAACAGAACAATGGAGGTTGTGTGTTATGGTGAATAACATCATGGCTTTTATGTTATTCATCATAACACACCACTGCACTCGTCTTCGGCTTGAGCCTGCGACCGAATCACAGGCGTGATCTCAAGGTTTGCTGCGACAGCTTCACTCACGTCTAAGGAAGGTTCCGGCATGTCTGAGGTGCCTCCTGCCTGACCCTCCAGGCTGTTTGAGGGATTGAAGGTAAAGTCTGGATGCATATGGCTGCTGTGGGCGGGGTTTTGATGGCTGGGTGGTGGCCGCGAGGTCTGGCAGGGACTACTGTGCTGTAACAGCTGCCCTGATTGGCTGCTGCTGTTCGGAGGCCCGTGTAAACTGTGCTGCAAGGGATTCTGGGATGGATCTGTGTTGACAGGATGAGGCACCTGGAGGAGAGAAGATGAATCTCATTTGGAGCAGAGTACTTCCACTCACTGGCCACTTTATTACAAACACCTACCTTGTATTTCCACTCACTGGCCACTTTATTAGAAACATCCACCTTTTGCTCCACTAACTGACCACTTTATTAGAAACACCCACTTTGTATTTTCACTAACTGGCCACTTTATTAGAAACACCTACCTTGTGCTTCCACTCACTGGCCACTTTATTAGAAACGCCTACCTTATGCTTCCACTCACTGGCCACTTTATTAGACACGCCTACCTTATAGCTCCTCTACCCTGTTCATCACTGGTCAGTTGTCCTAAATGGCTCAGGCTGATAATGTAGCCTGAAGCTGATGAATGAATCTACACAGGCCTTATATGTCTGAAAAAGCCTGAAATCACAGTCATGCACTGATTCTTTTAAATAATACAAAAACAAACCACACTGAAATATTATGTTATTAATGCAAATCACCACTTTAAAGTGCTGTAGAGAATATTCCATAAAGTTCTTGGACTGTTTATCTTTAGTCATATAATCACAAACAAACCATTTTATTGTTATTCATTATTTTATTATTATTTTTCCAAATAACCACACACCTTCTTATTGTGCACCCCCATTTATTTGATGCATGTGCAGTGATTTTGCTCTAGATCTCTGCCTGGCTAAAGGAACCGTAATGAACAGACGAGCTACAGTCTCTAACTGGTGGTTAGAGGTGGAGCTACAGGAGAGGGGTTTCTGATAAAGTGGCCAGGGGCAGATTTTAAATGTAATGCATCTTGCTACCCCTATTAAAAATAACACACAATATAATGCAGTGTAACTGAATTCTACATACAAACCTACATATCAAAAACACAATGGATGATTATCACACTCACACAAACAAGGAAAACAAGGTAAAATCAGTGAGATCATGTCTTAACCCTCCTGTTATCTTCACATTTACTAACATATTTCATCATCGGGGTTAATTTGAGCCCAGCAATTTGAACCTCAGGGAAATATCAAAGTTTTGGGGGGAGTTATGTTTTCTTCTCCTCCTGTGGTGAGAACTATCAGTGGCTCTCGCACCACTACAGGTGTGGTGATGTTAGGTTAGGGCCCTAAAACTGCACATTAAAGTGACCTCAATATCATCCAAAACAACCAAAACAAATATGTGTAAAATTCCCATAGTTTTTATATTTTATACAGCTAAAACAGCCTGGGGTCATGGTCACGCAAGCCTGAAATCAAGGTCATGCACTGATTCTCTAAAAAATATTAAATTAGGAAAAGTAATTAAATATGAAGCCAAAACGTTAATCATTTATTTAGAGGTGTTAAACTCTGAATGGGGCCAAACTGACCCCAAACATAGCAGTAGGGTTAAATACAGCAGCCGTAACTCACCAGGTTGGCGGGACAGTGTGCGAGCGGTTTGTTGGCTGGCAGAAGGCCACTGGCCGGTGGGTCTGAGGGCGGGTGGGACAACTGTGACCCCTGCGTCAGCTCATTCACTGACCCTTCTGCTGTGTTGCCATGGGGATGGTCAAAGTTACAGTGACCCTGGTAACTGCTGCCTGAGAAATTCATCACAACCGTAAGACTTTATATCACAATACCTACATTTAGAGTCAGTTATTCATTCAACCTAATGAGAAACTGTAGAACAGACTCAGTTTATATCACAATACCTACATTTAGAGTCAGTTATTCATTCAACCTAATGAGAAACTGTAGAACAGACTCAGTTTATATCACAATACCTACATTTAGAGTCGGTTATTCATTCAACCTAATGAGAAACTGTAGAACAGACTCAGTTTATATCACAATACTACATTTAGAGCGGTTATTCATTCAACCTAATGAGAAACTGTAGAACAGACTCAGTTTATATCACAATACCTACATTTAGAGTCAGTTATTCATTCAACCTAATGAGAAACTGTAGAACAGACTCAGTTTATATCACAATACCTACATTTAGAGTCGGTTATTCATTCAGCCTAATGAGAAACTGTAGAACAGACTCAGTTTATATCACAATACCTACATTTAGAGCCGGTTATTCATTCAACCTAATGAGAAACTGTAGAACAGACTCAGTTTATATCACAATACCTACATTTAGAGTCGGTTATTCATTCAACCTAATGAGAAACTGTAGAACAGACTCAGTTTATATCTCAATACCTACATTTAGAGTCGGTTATTCATTCAGCCTAATGAGAAACTGTAGAACAGACTCAGTTTATATCACAATACCTACACAGAGTCAGTTATACATTCAGCCTAATGAGAAACTGTAGAACAGACTCAATTTATATCATATAAATGTATAAATGTAATACCTAAACTTAGAGCGAGTTATTATATTAATCTACTTTCAACCTAAGAAAATGTAAATTTAGAGCTATTAGCCCCTTAAAATCTCAGTCTTATTACATACTAAGGCTTATTACTCAGTAACTACAAGGACTTCAGTGCAAACTCTCTGAGCTATTCTTAGGTTATAGAAGTATGTAATAAAACTTTGAATTTGCTTGTTGGCATTTAAGGGGTTAACTTTATATAATATTTATTTTGCATGTGTACGACTGATGACAGTTGGACTGGGTGTAGTTTTTTGTGCAGTTAAGGCTTTTAGGGATAACTATCTGATTGATAGGCTAAGCCGGAGCGCCCATCCCTGCTCCTCACCCTGCAGTGTTTAATCTAATACTGCTGATCCGTCTAATAAAAGAGGTCAGAAACACGTGAGACTTTAGAGGCAAGTCTGTTAAGGTGGTGTTGAAACTGCTTTATAGGATGGTAGATCTCCTGGAGGACTGTTGGGAGTCTCTGGGGCAATTTTTATAAAGCTTATTTGAATTTTATGATTTGAATTTAACGGCCACAGAAACGAGGGCACATGAGATTTCCAGCTCTGCGTATCTTTTAAGTAATTTGCATATGAAGGTTTCTAGCAATAAACGCTCAAAAGGAGAGAAAAGAGTACAGCACAGCATATATGTAGCGATGCTACGCTCACTGGTTTCACTAAAAAGTTCGCTAAAACGGTTTATTTAATTTAATTATTCATTAGAAAAAACAGAACTAAACATACGGTACTCTACGTGTATGGATAAGTATAGATGTACTAGAAAGATTGCTGGGTCCTCGTAAAGTTTCAACATATTAGCTCATTAACATGTTCTTAATGAATGAATGAATGAGTGAATGAATGGTATTCCCTTTGCGAGCCACCGGTCTGCATCATTTTTGAAAGAAAAAAGACAATACAGTGTAAATCGAGTTAACAGAAAAGAGAAACGCAGCTGTGTGCTGCATGTGTCAATTTAGTTCTCCTTCTGTGACAAAAACAAGGTACTGATTTAGATTCAATTTTAAATATCTTAATATAACATATAACAATCTAATAACTTATAACAATCCGACAGGTATATTGATCTACATCACTAGGAAGAAGTGCAGTTTACTAAATGAAAAAAGGCCAGATTTAGCTGAATATCCATTGATAGTAAGTTCATTATTACTGTAAGGGTTCAGCCGGCGCCGCCTGCTGCCGGCAGAGGGCAACGGCGGCAGGGTGTCCAGCCTGCGCCGCCTGCTGCCGGCAGAGGGCGACGGCGGCACAGGGCCATAACTTCAGGGAACTCCAATTCCCAGAAGTCCGCGGGCTGATTAGGCCCAACGCGACACACCTGCGGACTCCTCTACTTAAGGTCAAGGCAAACAGTGGTGTGTGTCACACCTTTGTAGAGGGGTGACCGGTACGGTACTTAGTGTCCGAAAAGAAAAGAAAAGAAAAGAAAAGAAAAGAAACTGCCCCAAAACTATAAAAGAAAAAGAAAAGAGGGTTGAGAAGAGAAACTGTCCCAAAGCTACTTAAAGGAAAAAAAAAAAGTCTGCCTTCCCTTCGTTCTTGGAGTGGAAGTGTTTTTTTGTTTTCCTGTTATCTGTCCTTTCGCCTTTCTAGTTCAGCCTTTGTTTGAGCTGCTCTCAGCGTCTCTTTTGTCTGCCGTTTGTCATTTTCCCGCCTTTTCTTTTCCCCCTTCCTTGAGGTGTTATTGCCAGTAGTCACTTGTGCTCCTCAGTGGCGCAGTGGTAATGCCACAAAGCGCTGATCAGTACATCACCGGTTCGAACCTGGCTTTGGGTCACCTCATCCACATGTTTCAGTGTCACAATAAACTCATTTTTCCATTTTCTTCTGTTTCCATTTCTGCACTTGGGTCCGCCTCCCCGCCGTCCCGTAACAATTACATCATTGCTGTAATAAACACGTCGCTTGTTGTGAGACTTATTAAAATATTTTCACAGTTCATTCTCAACACACTGCGCTGTCTCCCTTCAGCAGAGCCACATGATGACATACAGTGGTGTGAAAAAGTGTTTGCCCCTTCCTGATTTCTTATTTTTTTGCATGTTTGTCACACATAAATGTTTCAGATCACCAAACAAATTTAAATATTAGACAAAAATAACACAAGTAAACACAAAATGCAGTTTATAAATTAAGGTCTTTATTATTAAGGGAAAAAGAAATCCAAATCTACAGGGCCCTGTGTGAAAAAGTGATTGTCCCCTAAACCTGTTAAAACATAAATTAACTGTGGTTTATCACATCTTTGGAAAGCTGAGTTCAATTTCCCTAGCCACACCCAGGCCTGATTACTGCCACACCTGTTCTCAATCAAGAAATCACTTAAATAGTACCTGCCTGACAAAGTGAAGTAGACCAAAAGATCCTCAAAAGCTGGACATCATGCTGTGATCCAAAGAAATTCAGGAACAAATGAGAAACAAAGTAACTGAGATCTATCAGTCTGGAAAAGCTTTGGGACTCCAGAGAACCACAGTGAGAGCCATTATTCACAAATGGCGAAAACATGGAACAGTGGTGAACCTTCCCAGGAGTGGCCGGCCGACCAAAATTACCCCAAGAGCGCAGTGACGACTCATCCAAGAGGTCACAAAAGACCCCACAACAACATCCAAAGAACTGCAGGCCTCACTTGCCTCAGTTAAGGTCAGCGTTCATGACTTCACCATAAGAAAGAGACTGGGCAAAAATAGCCTGCATGGCAGAGCTTTGGGACTCCAGCGAACCACAGTGAGAGCCATTATCCACAAATGGCAAAAACACGGAACAGTGGTGAACCTTCCCAGGAGTGGCCGGCCGACCAAAATTACCCCAAGAGCGCAGTGACGACTCATCCAAGAGGTCACAAAAGACCCCACAACAACATCCAAAGAACTGCAGGCCTCACTTTCCTCAGTTAAGGTCAGTGTTCATGGCTTCACCATAAGAAAGAGACTGGGCAAAAATAGCCTGCATGGCAGAGTTCCAAGACGAAAACCACTGCTGAGCAAAAAGAACATAAAGGCTCGTCTCAGTTTTGCCAGAAAACATCTTGATGATCCCCAAGACTTCTGGGAGAATACTCTGTGGACTGACGAGACAAAAGTTGAACTTTTTGGAAGGTGTATGTCCCGTTACATCTGGCGTAGAAGTAATGCAGCATTTCAGAAAAGGAACATCATACAAACAGTAAAATATGGTGGTGGTAGTGTGATGGTCTGGGGCTGTTTTGCTGCTTCAGGACCTGGAAGACTTGCGTAAATGGAACCATGAATTCTGCTGTCTACCAAAGAATCCTGAAGAATGTCCGGCCATCTGTTCATGACCTCAAGCTGAAGCACACTTGGGTTCTGCAGCAGGACAATGATCCAAAGCACACCAAGTCCACCTCTAAATGGTTTAAGAAAAACAAAATTAAGACTTTGGAGTGGCCTAGTCAAAGTCCTGACCTGAATCCGATTGAGATGTGGCATGACCTTAAAAAGGCGGTTCATGCTCAGAAACCCTCCAATGTGGCTGAATTACAACAATTCTGCAAAGATGAGTGGCCAAAACTCCTCCACAGCGCTGTAAAAGACTCACTGCCAGTTATCGCAAACGCTTGATTGCAGTTGTTGCTGCTAAGGGTGGCCCAACCAGTTATTAGGTTTAGGGGGGCAATCACTTTTTCACACAGGGCCCTGTAGGTTTGGATTTCTTTTTCCCTTAATAATAAAGACCTTCATTTATAAACTGCATTTTGTGTTTACTTGTGTTATCTTTGTCTAATATTCAAATTTGTTTGGTGATCTGAAACATTTAAGTGTGACAAACATGCAAAAGAATAAGAAATCAGGAAGGGGGCAAACACTTTTTCACACCACTGTACATGACTAGATCTGTTAAGGGGTAAATGTAGTGGATGGGTGAAGGTCAATGAGCCCCTCAGTAGTTTGTTTTGCCCCGGGTCTAACTGATCCTGTCACATGGGCTGACTGTCAAAACTGGGGCTCCCAAGTGGCGCGAAAGTATAAGCATTGGCTCTGTCATCAGAAGATCACGAGTTCGAGCCCTGGTGATGCTACAGCCGTCCGTGCCCACACGTCCAAGAGAGCACAGCTGTCCTCGCTCTCTCTGGGTGGGTAGGACGGCCCCCCGTCTCCCATCCATCACTCAGCATGATGCTAGTCAGCACAGATGTAACAGAACTGGCGGTTAGTGCTCTCCGACAGTGTTAACGCTGCGTTAGTGGCACATCGAAAAGAGGCGCTTTACAGGTCTCGGAGGAAGCTTGTGCTGGTGCTAGCTTTCGCCTTACTAGCACTGGTGGTACTGTGTGACTGAGGGGTGGAATTTGATATGGCTAAATTGGGGAAAAAAAAGTTTGTATGTGAAGTTGGAAATGTGTGTCAGTCTACGTACTTTTTAACGCCCAAATCCCGTTTTATAAATCATTACTTAAATGTGAATTTTCACGTACAGCAAACTAGGCTACGTTCACACAGCAGGTAAAAGTGGCCCAAATCTGATCTTTCTCTTCATATGTGACACAGATGTGTGTCAGTGCGAACAGAAACTCACTGAATCTGACAGTTTCAATTCCGATTTGAGACGCTTTCATACGTGGTGCTGAAATCTGATCCGTATCCGATCTGCGGCGGTGCGACTCAGTCTGAACAGCCAGACCTGAATCCATGCGTCTTATATGTCAATCCAACTCGACATTCATCATAATTTTGCACTGCTGAGACTCATAAACATTTAGGCTGATGTTTCTGTACAATAATAATTAGAGACTCATCCAAACCCTCAGAGTTTGAAAAGGTTTAGAAGGAAATGTCCGAACGTGGGCGTCGGAGACCGAGGCTGCAGCGTCAGAGAACAGTTAAAAGTCTGAAAGCAAAGTTTAAAGAATCCGAGGACGCGAATCAAAGAAGTGACCGCGCCCTTTTTACAGCTCGAACACATTCTGGGTGATGAGCCCAGCTGTCAGTCAGTGAAGCTTCATGATGGCTCCTGTGATGCTGGTGAAGATGAAGCTGATCCTCCGGGAGCGACTGGCGTTCGTTGGCAGTCGAGATTGTTTACCTCTGGATGAGCCGTGAAGCAGCGTGACGCTCTGTTCTTTTGTGGGTCCGTTTAGGAGCTGATCTGTTCAGTCTGATGTCTCATACAGATCACAATTAAAAGATAATCTGAACAGCCAAACAAAGAAATCTGATTTGGGCCACTTTTACCTGCTGTGTGAACGTAGCCTACATCGTGTGACCGGTGCTGAATTGACAGAAGGGCAGAATTAGAGAGGGGCGGATCGATACTGCAACATCGATACCTCTGATCCTGAAGATTCTTTTTGGGAATTGATCCTCACATGTCAGTACTGATCTATAGCTTAAAAGTTAAATCTCTATATACACTAAATCTAAAGACAAGCTCAATCCAGCAGCTCTTCTTGAAACTCACCTTGGCTGTGGAACTCGTGGACATTGCTCTGTTGAGAGTGGACGTTGGGGTTTGGGTTGGGGTATGAGTTTGGCCCGGGCCCGAGCTGTGCGATCATGTCCGTCACGTTGGGCAGAACCATCTGACTCGGACTCATGGTCTTGAACCGCTTAACCAGCGGCCCGTCTGGATCCTCCTTTATCTGACCCTCTGGTTTCGTTGGCACCGGCCGCCAGCTACAGGATGGGTCGATCGTCACCTCCTCGAACTCCAAACTAGGAGGACAAAGCCACATTTACGGTCAGATCCGGTCAGTTTTAAGTTGTGTACAGCTCTGAATGTGAATATTAATTATGTTAAGATGAAGAACGTACTTCTGGACGGCGTTCAAGATGCCCCACATGTACTGGTCGACCTCCAGCCCCTCTAACAGGGCAGTTTTACTACAGGGAGACAGAAAGCAGTGATCAGAAAACACCTCCAAATCCTCTTATTTTGAGAGGCCAGAAAACTACTGCATGTTAAATAAAATAAATGCTCCTAAATGGAACGCTGCTTGGATGTATGGTTCTAGGAAACACCTTAACATCAGTGGTCATAAAATCTGGTCGTGGAGATCTACCTTCCTCCAGGTTCCTGATTGGCTGAATGAGTTGCAGTAGTGTTACTTATAGAAGACGCAGCATTTTAGATGTAGGTTGGAACTGAACTGGGACAGCAGATCTCCAGGAGGAGGCCTGGTGACCACTTCTTTACATTATGTGGAGGTTCTTCAAACTTAAAGAAGAACACAGTGTCACTGAGGTGAAGCACCACTCTTATAAAGCAATAAAAGCAACCAAGTGCTAAAGTGAGTAACAGTGACCCCTTGTGGAGAACCTAAGCCTGCTAAACATGAGTGAGTGATTGATTTACAAAGTACATGCGCTGCTTAGCATCTAAAAAGGTTCTTCAGGAAACCAAAAGAGGTTCTTCTATGGCATCACCCCAAAGAACCCTTTTTGGCAACGTTATTTTTAAATCTGCATCAGATATTTACAATCCTAAAACTTACTGTATCTAAACTGAGATGTGAGATACTTGAGACGAGATATGAGGTGCAGGCTGAAGCCCAGCTGCAGTGCTGTATGTCGCTCTGATAGAACCCGTGATTGTAGTGCTCTCGTTCATAAACAGCTTTTAAACAGCTTTCAAAGCGAAACCTTCAGCACCTTCAGCAGACTATGCTGGATAGATGTTCACAGGAGAATTATGGAGAAATCAACAAGCAGAGAACTAAAAAAAGCAGCAGTTTGAAGCAGAACCTCCACCGTAACAAGAACCGAAGAGGTGTATGAACGAGAGCAAGAGGCGACAATCAGGAGCTGAACCACTGACTGTATATATGATATCCATGATATATACTCATTTGACTGTATATATGATATATGATATACACACTCATTGAGAGTATTCATGATATATGATATTCACACTCATTTGACTGTATATATGATATATATCATATATACACTCATTGACTATGATATATTTGATATGCTCATTTACTAAGTATATGACAAATGACATACAATCATTGACTGTAAATATGATATATGAGAATATACATTCATCGACAGTAAATAAAATATATATGATATATACAGTCATTGTTTAGAACATGCAGACACTGTTGCTCTCACTGGACATCAGTGATGATGAGAAACTCATCATCATTAACACAAAAATTGTGTTATTTTCATATTCAGGTTCTGCATTCAAAATAATTTTACTGAATTAAGAGTAAAATTTGAGCAAATATGACAAATGAGTTTAATATTTGTGTAATTGTTGTGTTTTGTTGACTCACTTGCACACAGGACATCTCCACGTTCCTCTCTCACAGTTCAGCTGTAAATATGATTCCAAATCGAAACACTGTGAAAAGACAGCAGTGAAGCCAGATTAGCTGTGGTTATGTAAATGTATGCATTCTATATACACATATACACATAATAAAGAGTTTAATTTCTAGAAATATTTTTTTGTACTTTTTAAATCCGTATCACATTCACTGGACTCTTTAACTCCATTTAGTAGCACTTCCTACCCTTTTACTCAGCATTATGAACTCTGTTGAGGACGTGAGGTCGTGTACAGTATTTTCCTGACCTGTACGTGTTTGCAGTCGTGTCCCCGTGCAGGAAGCTGAATCCTCCGGAATGTGATTGGACATTTCAGAGAAACCCTGATGGCCGTCTGCTCCACACCGTCTTCCCCATTTATCCCGGCATTCCCGGCACAGACGGCTACGCTGCTGAAATTCCTCTTCACTGCAGAACAGAGGAAGAAGGAGGAATGAGTGAAATAGAGGCAGGAGCAGCGTTTCACCTTCAGTGAAGATTAGTGTTCTACCTTTAGCGATGCAGTGCTCAGCGGGCAGCAGGCGTTTCTTCAGCAAGCCCTGCAGAACCGAGCGCACAGACGGCCTGTGCACCAGCTGCAGCACAAACAGGTGAGACTGCAAATAACAAAACAAACACTTTCATAAACACAAACATGGTGGGTACCAGTAAATAATGGTGGGAATTAATGAGCATCAGTGTGTACCAGTGTGGAATGATGGGTACTTGTGAGGAATAGTATGTACTAGAGAGTAAGAAGTGAAAAACAATTAGTATTACACTCTTAAAAAATATGGTTCTTTAAGTGTTCTTTAGTAAATACAATGGTTCTATAAACCATGAATGCTCAAAGAACCATTTGCATGCTTTAATGTTTCTTTGCAGGGTGAAATGGTTCTCCAGATTGATGGAGAATGTGTTATACATGGTTCTATACCTAATCGTTTTGAAAAGGGTTCTCTATAGCACCAAAAAAGGTTCTTCTATTGTTACAATGTCAAGTTTGTTACAATAGAAGAACCCTCTTTGGTACTATATAGAACTATTTTCAAAAAGGTTTTATATAAGACCATAAATAGCCCATTTACTGTTAATCTGAAGGATCAGTGGTCAGGACCACCACAGAGCAGGTACTATGTGGGTGGTGGGTCATTCTCAGCACTGCAGTAACACTGACGTGGTGGTGGTGTGTTAGTGTGTGTTGTGCTGGTCTGAGTGGATCAGACACAGCAGTGCTGCTGGAGTTTTTAAACACCTCAGTGTCACTGCTGGACTGAGAATAGTCCACCAACCAAAAATATCCAGCCAACAGCGTCCTGTGGGCAGCGTCCTGTGACCACTGATGAAGGACTAGAGGATGACCAACACAAACTGTGCAGCAGCAGATGAGCTATCGTCTCTGACTTTACATCTACAAGGTGGACCGACAAGGTAGGAGTGTCTAATAGAGTGGACAGTGAGTGGACACAGTGTTTAAGAACTCCAGCAGCACTGCTGTGTCTGATCCACTCGTATCAGCGCAACAGACACTAACACACCACCACCCACATAATACCTGCTCTGTGGGGGTCCTGTGGGGGGGTCCTGACCATTGAAGAACAAGGTAACAGAGTATGCAGAGAAACAGATGGACTACAGTCTGTAACTGTAGAACTACAGGGTGAAACTATATGGTCAGTGGAGCTTATAAAGTGGGTAATAAAGGTAGGTGTACCTAATAAAGTGGTCAGTGTGCATGACTATTCATCACTATTCTGATTCTGATGATGGGTGTCAGAATCAGGACAGTCATGATGAACAGTGATGACTGGTAAGTAGTATCTGCAGAACTCACGCAGCAGCAGGCAGTGACGGTGATCTGGATGGTGTTTCTTCCAGGCTGGCACACGTGTTTGAGGAGCAGGGGTTTATGGGATGTCTTGTTGTCTCCTCTCTCGATGGTCAGGGGGGTGGCGTTAACGCTCACCTGCACCGAGGCAGGCCAGTTAGTGTTCATCTGACGGTCCTCGTGATGATAACACTTAAACTGCAGCTCCAGGTCAGACCTGACACACAAAGACAGACGATATGAATATGATATTAATATAATAATAAGTCTGACTATAAGCCTAAACCCTAACCTTAGCTTAACCTTATCCAAACTTCTCCTCTAGCCATGTAGCACTGGTCCTCACAAGTCTTTATTTATTTATTTATTTATTTTAATAAAGTGCAAACAAATAAATATTTATTATATATAGCAGAGAAAATATATAATATATATAACAGAGAAAATATTATGAATGAGTTCCAAATATTACAATTGTTTTTGTCCATTGTATTTTTATTAGGCAGTACTTAATCACTTAAAGGGGAACTCCATCAATTTTGCAAAATTCGTTAATCATTTTATGGTTTAGATGTAAACAAAATCATTCAGAGTGGTTTGGTGTGAAATGCACCTTTCTAGAGACATTTGCAGTCAGAATCGTTCACCATTGTAGTTCTAGGAACCAGACGTCGTTATGTCTTCAATACAAATATCACCATTTTATCTGCTGTCCAAAATGACCAGTGATCATAACTTTTTATAAGTCATGCTGATAAATGTGAAATTGGGCTAAATTGAAAAAAAATATATTTACTACTTTTTCCTTACAACGCCCTGCATGTACTTTCCCTGCCCTGAACGCCTTTGAAATAAATTAGCCACCATGCATATTTCACTGTTAGCCGTTAGCTTACAACAGACTGTCTGAAGTGGGCCACGCCAAAAGATGACTACACCTCTCTGTCCTACCTCATCAACTGGTAAGCAGAGTAGCAAGTAGTTTGTTGTTGACACCACCAGTTTCCATTTACCCTGGTCTGTCTCTCTCTCTGTCTCTCTCTCTCTCTCTCTCTGGTGCATGCTGGGAGGTGGTGGGTGAGGGTGCGTCTGTGAGAGGTGCTGTGCTGAGGTCAGCGTGTGCTTTTTCCCTGTTTCTACCCTGTATTTTCGGGGTTATTTTCCTAATTTCTGACTGTTCAGCACTGTTAATCGTTAGCCGCTGAGAGCGGCGAGTGAGGGGGGAGTCATGGCTCCTCGCCTCGCGGCTGAAACGCCGTCTCTCTCCCGCGCAAATGGCTTTAGATGTGTCCCACCGGCAGAAGCGGGAGTTGAAGACGTGCTTCTGGTGGTGGGAGAAAAAGTTGGCTTTGATCAGATCTCCTCCGCCTCGAGGATGAATAAGGCCGTAGTGGTGTTTCTGAGAGAGGAACGTTTAGTGAATGAGCTCGTGGAGAGCGGGATTTGGGTGTTGGAGACTTTTGTGCCGGTGTCCCCTCTATCAACACCGGCGACCAGGGTCACCATCTCCAATGTCCCGCCTTTCCTCTCCAGCGAGTCCATTGCCAAAGAACTCGGCCGATTTGGCAAATTTGCGAGTGAGATCACGCCGGTCCCGCTCGGCTGTAAGAATGCGGCTCTCAAACACGTCCTGTCTTTTCGTCGACAGGTGTACATGTTTCTAAACAATCCGGATCGAACATTAGAAGCCTCTTTCCGCGTGGTTCACGGAGAAAGCTCGTATATGGTTTATGCCAGCACTGACAGTTTGAAATGTTTTGGGTGTGGACTTATCGGACATAAGCGGCTCGCGTGCCCGCTTAAAGAGCGCAGCGAGGCGCCTGAGAACCGGGCTTTTGATGAAGCAGGGCCCAGCGGGGCTGCGGGGGCAAACGACGCGGCCTCGGGTGAAGGCACGTCAGAAGTCGCTACTCCGGAGGTGAATCGAGGAGAGGAGGTGAGTGAGCGGCTGGTGGAAACTGTTTTAGTGAGTGAGGGTGTTGAACAGCAGGCTGGTCAGAGGGAAGGTGAGGCTGGTGAGGAGGTGAGTGTAGAGGCTGGGCCGTGTGCTGAGGGGAGCAGTGTTACTGAGCTGGAGTCTGTAGCAGTAGGTGAGTCTCAGTCAGGGTCAGTGATGTCTGTAGGGGAGGGGATGGAAGAGGAGGAGGACAGGCTGTCTGAAGTTTCAGATATTGGGAGTAGCCAGTTTAGTGGTGAGAGGTTGTACACTGTGGAGCAGATCAACTCTTTTTTAGACGAGACTAAAGGCAGGCCGGTTAATGTTACTGATTTCTTTCCTGATCCGGATAAGTTTATATGCTCAGTGCTGAGAGCACAAAAAAACGTGAGTTATGATGTTCTTTCCCAGCAAAAGCGTTTTCGCCTAAAAAAGCACATAACTGCTATTCGGAAAGCAAAATCTGTGAAGTCTTGTGTCAAACCTTGCTCTGATTGTACAAATGTATGAGTACCACACACGAGGTCAGAGGGCCTTTTCTGTCTGCTTTTCCTGTCTGTTGCTTTACGTTTTTCTCTCTTCCTCTTTTGAGTGCATGGGGTTTTTGAGGGTGGGTTCCCTAAATGTTAATGGGTTTAGAGATAGGGGTAAACAGGCCCTCTTTTCTGAACTTTTCAGCCTCAAGAGGCTGAATGTGTGCTTTTTGCAAGAGACTCATAGTGATGAGGATCTAGCATCTGATTGGGGCTTATGGTTTAAAGGGGAGTCTCTATTTAGTCATGGTTCAAGTAATAGTGCAGGAATTGGGATCATTTTCTCTCAGTCTTCCTCAGTGATTGTCCTGTCAAGAAATGAAGTAATAGCAGGGCGTTTACTTATGGTTAGAGCGAGAGTAAATGATCGAGTTTTTGTTTTTATTAATGTGTATGCTCCTAATAGAGGATCAGAGAGGACTGAGCTGTTTCGTAGACTGCATCAAACTTTACAGTCCCTCTCCCCTGAGGATACTGTTGTGATGGGGGGTGATTGGAATTGTACACTAGATTTTATCAAAGATAGGAACGGAGAAGAGCCTCACCCCCAGTCTGCTCTTGCTCTAGCTAATGTGATATCTTCTTTTAAAATGACAGATGTATGGAGGGAAAAATACCCTTTAGTCAAATGTTACACATGGGTGAAAGTTTTTGACGGGGGAGTTTTTGCTGCACGCTTAGATAGATTTTATGTTTCTCAGAGTGCGAGAAACAGTGTAAGCAAGTCTACTATTCAGCCCACTTCTTTTTCTGATCACCATTTATGCACGGTGGAGTTTTCTTTTATTTCTCATGTCTCTAAGAGTTGTATGTGGTATTTTAACAAGAAACTTCTAGTGGATAAACTTTTTTGCGAGTGTTTTAAGGTATTTTGGCAAGAATGGGCTGCAGAAAAAGGGAGGTTTGAGACTCTTATGCAGTGGTGGGAACTTGGGAAGACTCAAATTAGGATCTTCTGTCAAAATTTCACTGCTTTTTCTACGGCCAAGATCAGAACAGCTGTCCAAGTTTTAGAACAAGACATAACGAGGATACATGACCTCATGATAAACCAGAATGTCTCTGGCTTGCACGCAGTTTTGACCACAAAACTCCAGAACCTTAGTGCCATTTTGAATGAGAAAGCAAAAGGGGCTTTGGTTAGAACCAGGTTTTTATCTATACAAGACATGGATGCTCCCACTGCCTTTTTCTTCAATTTAGAACGATCCACTTCAGGCCATAAGTCTCTGGTCTCCTTACGCAAAGATGATGGTACAGTCACTGCAGACCCAGCTGAAGTGCGAAAGATGGCAGTACAGTTTTATTCTGAGTTGTATGCAACTGGATCACCGGACCAGAACTGTACCAAGGTTTTGCACAACGATCTTCCTCAACTGGATCAACAGCAAAAGCAGGTCTTGGACTCTGCTCTGACTTTTGAGGAAGTCACCCAAGCCGTTTATCAGCTGACTTCCGGACGAGCACCTGGTATTGACGGTTTGCCTGTGGACTTTTATAAGGCCTTTTGGGGAGTCATCGGAGAGGACTTGTTTAGTGTTTTTCAGGCCTGCTTTGAGGCCAAGATGCTTCCAAAGAGCTGCCAGCGTGCGGTCCTCTCTCTCTTGCCGAAGAAGGGAGACCTCTGCTTACTGAAGAACTGGAGGCCGGTGTCGCTTCTATGTTCGGACTATAAAATTCTGTCGCGATGCATTGCAAACAGACTTAAAGAGGTTTTACACACACTGGTTCATGAAGACCAATCTTATTGCATTCCCAAACGATCAATTTATGACAACTTATTTTTGCTTAGAGATTTGGTTGATTTTGCGAAATTGTCTGGTTCGGAGTTTGGTCTTTTGTCACTTGATCAAGAGAAAGCTTTTGATCGGGTTGACCATGAGTACCTATTTGATACCTTAAAAGCTTTTGGTTTTGGTGACAGGTTTTTATCCTGGGTTAGACTGTTGTACACTGGGGCCTCCTGTATGATTAAGGCAGGAGGGGTTTTAAGTGTTCCAGTCCTAGTTAGCAGAGGAATCAGGCAGGGGTGCCCTTTATCAGGTCAGCTGTATTCTCTGGCAGTAGAGCCTTTCCTTTGTTTACTAAGGAAGAGGCTGTCAGGCTTACAGTTTCAAGGAAGTTCTGTGAAGCTTTCGGCGTACGCCGATGATATTTCTTTGGTAATTCGTCATGAGCATGATGTTCATTCTTTACAAGAGTGCTTAGACATTTATGAGCGAGCTTCCTCTGCTAAGTTGAACTGGAGCAAAACAGAAGCGCTATGGTGTGGTGTTCATAATAAGAACCTCTCCATGCCACCTATTCCAGGTGGTGTTAAGTGGGGCAGATTTGGTCTGAAGTTTTTAGGGGTTTGGTTAGGCACTGATCAGGCCCAGATCCAGAACTGGGAGGGTTTAAGAGAGAAGGTCCATGCCAGGTTGTCTACATGGTCTCGCCTGCTACCCCAGCTATCGTATCGGGGCCGAGTTTTGATTGCCAACAACCTGATTGCATCAGCTCTTTGGCATAAGTTTACTGTGCTGAATCCCCCTGATGGTCTGGTCAATGACATTCAGAAGGCACTGGTAAACTTTTTTTGGAATGGACATCACTGGCTCAGGGCTCCTGTACTTTACCTCCCGGTGCAGGAAGGAGGACAGGGCCTGATAGACATTCGATCCAGAATCGCTGTTCTGCGTTTGCAGGCTGTGCAGCGCCTTCTGTATCATACACACCATTGCTGGACCGATGTAGCTTGTGCCCTCCTAAGGGTTGCTGGACGCATGGGCCTTGACAAGCACCTCTTTTCTCTTGTTTTAAGGACAGTGGACTTGGAAGGCTTAACTCCTTTTTACTCAGCAGCAATGCAAGCATGGAAGCTCTTTTCAGTTTCGAGGGAGGGCGTTGCTCCATCACGCTGGGTTTTTGAAGAACCGCTGTTTTTTAACCCTGTTTTACCTGCATTGTCCCAGTTCTCAGCTGCATTGAGAGTCACCTTTTTGGAGAAGGGCTTGAGTAAGATCCGCCACTTGCGGCAGGGTGTATCCTGGATGACAGCAGAGGACTTGGCAGATATGACTGGCCTAAGATCAGTGCGCCTGGCTTCACAGGTGCTTGGACGTTTAAAATCTGACCTGTCCGCCCCTGTCTCTGAATACCTGGATGCGACCCCCGTGGAAGACTGGCGGATCATGGACATGGATTACCCAGAACTTGTACTGGACATGGGTCAGAAGGACTGGCAGGAGGTTCAAGGGGCACTTCTTTCCATGGAAACCCCGACTCTTGGGACTTTCAGTGCAATCACTAAACAGAGACTGTACCAGGCATGCACAAAAGTTTTGAATTTTCGAAGCCTGAGGGATGTGCAGGAGACTAAATGGTCTGAGGTTGTTGAGGCAGGCTCGTCCCCAAAAGGTAGCTGGCGGTCTGTGTACAAAAGGCCCATCGAAAAGAGAACGGCCGACCTCCAGTGGAGGATTGTACACGGGGTTTTAGCTACGAACAGACATGCGGCACGGATCGATCCCACAGTTGGGGAGGGTTGTCCTTTCTGTGGTGCTCCAGAGACCCTGTTTCATGTTTTTCTGCAGTGCTCACGGTTAGGTTCAATTTTAGTGTTAGTCAAAAATTGGGGTTTAACATTTTTAGGGTTTTTTAGGGATAGTTTGTTCATTTATGGTCCCAAATATTCGGCTTTAAAAAAGGACAAAGTGGTGCTTTTAAACTTTTTGTTTGGAGCAGCGAAGTTGGCGATCTGGTGCACGAGGAAAAACAGGATTAAGGGGTGTGGAGGGATTGACCCTGTCCTAATGGTGAGAGGTCTTGTGATGAAACGACTCCATGTTGAATTTGCATTTTATAATCTTGTGAATGACCTGGACACCTTTTTCCATGTGTGGGGGGGTGGGGGGCTCATTTGCGAGCCGGATGGACTTGGTGGGTTTGTGGTGAATTTGTAAGGTGATGGTTTTGCTGCATTTGTGCTGATTTCTGTGTGATCTGTTTTTAGCGTTTACTGGTTACATTAAAGGTGTTTTGAAAGTCAAGTCTCTCTCTCTCTCTCTCTCTCTCTCTCTCTCTCTCTCTCTCTCTCTCTCTCTCTCTCTCACGTCTGGTTCCTGGTAGTATAATGGTGAGAAGGCGCATTTCACACAGATCCACTCTAAATGAATTGGTTCACATCTAAACCATTAAATGATTGTCATTTTGCAAAATTGGTGGAGTTCCCCTTTAAACGCATGAGCTGCTCCTGATACATACATGTATAAACACACTCAGATACCTAATACACCCTGATACCCACACGCTTCAACCAAACACATCTCTGTCCACAAACAGATTCTGGAAATGTGTTAGAAATTCCAGTTAAAACTCCTCAAAGCCAGATTCCTGTGATCCAGCTGTTCTAGTCAAGCCCAGTCAGGCCCAGCTGCAGTGCAGAGTGTGACGGTGTAGCTGTGTGTAATGGAGTGTGTGAAGGTGTGTGTTCTAGCAAGAAGGTGAGTCAGACACGACGTGTGTGAACAGTGTGTGCAACTAGTTAGCTAACACAGGATTCACAAAATTCAAAATTTAATTAGATACAATGATAAAAGATAAACAATATAAAATATGATACGTGATCCTATATGATACAATATGATAACACGACATGATATATAATACGATACAACATCATACAGATACAATACAGTACGATACAATAAGATACGATTTGATATGTAGTTTTGTTTCAACCCTGCTAGCTAGATACACTATATGGACAAAAGTATTGGGACACCTACAGTAGCTTTCATGAATCCCATTCTAATCCATAGGCATTATTATGGAGTTGGTCCCCCTTTGCAGCTCTAACAGCTTCCACTCTTCTGGGAAGCTTCCACAGATGTTGGAGAGAGTCTGTGGGAATTTCTGCCCATTCATCCAGAAGAGCATTTGTGAGGTGAGACACTGATGTTGGACGAGAGGGTCTGGCTCACAATCTCCGTTCTAGTTCATCCCAAAGGTGTTTGATGGCGTTGAGGTCAGGGCTCTGTGAGGGCTGGTCAAGCTCTTCCACACTAGACTCACCCAGCCTGACCTTATGGAGCTGCTTTGTGCACTGGGGCTCAGTCATACTGGAACAGGAAAGTTGGAAGCTACAACTGTCCAAAATGTCTTGGTGCTGAAGCATTAAGATTTCCCTTCACTGGAACTGAGCTTTCTAGACCAACCCCTGAAAAACAGCCCCATATCATCATCCCTCCTCCACCAAACTGTACAGCTGGCACAGTGCAGTCAGGCAGGTAACGTTCTCCTGGCATTCACCAAACCCAGACTCGTCCATCAGACTGACAGACAGAGAAGCTGATTCGTCACTCCACAGAATACGTTTCCACTGCTCCAGAGTCCAGTGGCGGCGCTTTACAGCCTTGATTATGGATTGTTTAACATATAGACCACAGCAAGTTAAGGTCAATGGCTTTTTATTTCAAACCTTCTCTCTTCCACTGGCTCACCACAGGGTTGTGTATTGTCTCCTCTCCTGTATATTCTATACACAAATGATGGCAAGACAGATACATCTCTTATATTTGCAGATGATACAGTGATTGTTGGCCTGCTACAAGATAAGGAGACTGAACATGGCTCAGTGGTGGAGGACTTTAGTGTAGAGATATGAATTTGAAACAACGTCATACAAAATTAAACGGTACTGTCGCGTGCGCCCGTCCACTGGGCCCCGATGGCGGCCACCAGAGCCGGCAGGAAGGTGGCGCCCAAACTCCGAGTCGGGACAAAGTCCGACGAGGATGGCGGGGGGAGGAACACCGCTCGCAGCTCATCCGCCCAGATTGAATGTGAGGCTAATTAACGTGGCCTCACTGCGGGACTAGAGGCGGCACCCAGGAGGCGGGGCTCATCCCCATTCGGAGCTCGGGCCCTGCCTTCCTGCCGGCTGGCCATCGGCGCATGCCACAGTTACAAAAACAAAAGATATAAAAAAATTGACTCCCGTAAAGTGTCCCAGTTTCCATCACCTGTATTGATTAACAGTAAAGCAATTGAATTTGCTGACAGCTATAAATACCTGGGGACAGTCATTAATGTGAACACTGATAGCATTTGTAAAAAAGGGCAGCAGAGATTGTGTTTCTTAGAAAAGCTAAACATGCTCAGTGTGGACAGGAAGGTCATGAGCCTTTTTTATCAGTCTTTGAATCAGTTTTAACAGCTTTTTCTATAATTGCTTGGTTTGGGAACTTAAGTGTTCAAATAAATCGCCTCAATAACACTAATAAGGTGGCAAACAAAATAACTGGCACTGTCCAAGCTCACTTAAATGACAATCATCTGTCGCATTACTCGGAGAGCGAGGCTGATACTTTTCCAGACCAGCCACTCGGCAGTCGTGGGCTGGAGGTTAGGGAACCAGCCCCGTGACCGGAAGGTCACCGGTTTGATCCCCTGAGCCGACAGTATGTGACTGAAGTGCCCTTGAGCAAGACACCGAACCCCCAACTGCTCCCTGGGGCACTGCGGATAGGGCTGCCCACCGCTCCGGGCAAGTGCCCTCACTGCCCCCTAGTGTGTATGTTCAGTAGTTTGTATGTGCTGTTCCCCGCTGTGGGACTAATAAGGGTCTCTTAATTTCGAGGTTCAGTTTATTCCTTCTAGATGCAGATTTTGGCTCCTAAAGTTAAAAAGTAACGGATGGAAGAACTCGTACCCAAAGCTATAGGGCTATTAAATTTGTGATATGTATTTCTATAATATTGGATTTAATTTATGGGTTGTAATGCATGTTTTTATTGATGTTGCTGATGTTGTGTTTTTATTTTTTGTGTTATATTTAGTAAACTTGGCTGTAAAACAAATTTCATTAACTGAACTGAGCAGCATACACATAAGGGGATGCATATTCATATGCCCAAGGGCCATAAACTGCACATTTCAGTTTCATACATAAAACGTGGCCTACGATAAATCTGATTTGCACCTGATGTTCAGTACTCAAGCCCTGAGTGCTCAGATTCATCCCATCTCAATCTCCACTGACTGCTGTTCTTTGGTTAAACGGTAAATATCTCTGAAACCTGGTGCTGTTTCTGTGTTTGCGCGGGTGTCTGACCTCCACATGAGCGTCTGGTGGACGGACGGCCGCAGGTGGAAGATGTGGTTACTGACGGCGAGGTTGTGCTCCAGTCTGAACGGCTCCAGCACCACACCGTCCCGCACGGGGAAGTTCAGCCTCAGCTCCTCTCCACAGCCACCTGCACACACAGCGCCACCTAGCTTCAGCACAACACAGTAGCAGCTGGCGTGGGGGTTTGGTGTGAAACGCTCTGTTCTAGAGAAACTTACCGAGTCAGAACTGTTCACAGTGGTGGTGATAGGAACCAGACGTCCACCTCTAAAAGCTCCCTCACAGAAAGTTACTACATGAAATGGTTATGAATACAACACATTTATAAAAATGATGGTTCTTCAAGGGTTCTTTAGTAATAAAAATGGTTCTTTAGAATGTGCTATAGACGGTTCTATACAGAACTTTTTGAAAAGGGTTCTATATAGCACCAAAAA